ACAGTGCTCTCAATGGTAAATGGCTAGACTCCAACTGCAGCTCAATGCAGATTCTGGAACCCCAGCTGTGGCTCTCACCAATCTATGTTGAATACTCTCCAGAATTAGGTAAGCAAGATGCACCCCTCCAGGGAAAATGTGTGCTTTCCATTCCAGGTATAGAGAAATGTCCATACGTGGGTGGTATATATGTGGAACTCTGTCTGATTTGGATTCTCTTAATCATAGTGATGGATTTCTGCTTGTGTCATACACCTGGCTAACCAAAATACAATCCCTGCACGAAGAAAGAAATGTATTTTAATGTATTTTTACATTAAAATCTATCTGCTGCTCCTTGGGCCACCTGCTGAAATGATAGATTATCCTGAAGGATATTAATCTTCACATTTTTCATCTGACCATGTAAGAGAAACAGCAGCTGCTTATATCTCTGTATACCAATCAAGATGGATCCCAACCCTGGATATATGAATGTGTATTCATGAATTCGTACTCCAGGTAACGCCTTCCATCAGCTGTTGCTCCAAGCCTCAGAGTTTCACACTGACTGTTAAATGTCACTTGATGAATGAAATGCATCAGGGCATTGCCATCATCTTCCTGCCGACAGCTTGGACACACATCCCTGTCTACTGATTAGAAATGCACGGCTTCTACAGCAACTGCTTACCTCTCTGTATTTCAAGCCCTGGATATATGAATCATTAGGAAGATCAGGCAATGTTAGGAATGATGGGTTTGGAGAATTTCACAAGATCAGTTCACAAGAGTGGCTACATTTCCAGTCAATACACTTTACAATATATTCTGTGAAGCGTTTTGAGGCGTCTCAATGATGTGATAAGGTGTTTCATCAAATGTAAGGATTATTATTATTATTAGATAGGAAGCTGAGCTCCAATCTCGACTATGCTTGACCACCCTAGAGGGAGAGGCAGGGCAGGCACCTGTACTTGCTAAAGCCCACTCACATGAGGATTAAACAGCTGGTGCTGTACAGGCCTGATATGCAGCACTGGACTTAGACCTCTGGAATGCCAAGGTGGCCGGTATGTCACATTGCTGTCCTGTAAAGGCCCTCCTACCACACTGAAGCCAGATACCCCAAGTTGTTCTGATCGCCGGGGAAGCTATCACCAAAGGCGGAAACATTCCATTCTTAATTTATATGTTTTATCACTTGTTTACTCTAACCTGATCACGTGTCATTTAAAAGTCAGTGTGAATCATGCCTCATGATTATGGTTCCATGTTATGGTTCCACTACCTGACATAATAAAAAATTACTGAATATATTTCATTAGGTTGGGCAATTAAAAGTGACATGAGGTAATTAAAAAACATATTTCACTCCCAGGTTAATTAAATGTAAAGATTCAAATGATAATTATATAATTTTCCAATCGATCAGTTGTCAAGAAAGCAAAGCAACGGACTCATTAGATGTAACATGATGGACCTAAAGAGGTAATTTCTATTTTATTTGTTAAGACATATACCAAAGATGCAGGTTACAAATGCAGAAGCCAGTGTTGTGATCAAGAGTGAATTATTAAGGTGTGATCAGATCCAAGGTAAATTATTAAAAATGTTTTAGTTTTGATTGTATTTTTACTGGACAAAACACCCACAAAATATACAGTCAAATCCACTTTATAGTATATTCTGTGAAACGCTTTCAGATATCTCGGGCTATATCAAATGCAAGGATTATTATTATTAAAGTTAGGAATGCTTATTAGCTAGAGTTGAGCTGATCTGGAGAATTAAAATCTTGATTATAAAATGTTTTGTTCAAATTTAAAATGTTGAAGATTATAATAAATTTAAGATTATAAATTGTTGTTTTGTTTAAGTCCGCTCAGCGGGCTCCGGCCTGCTTCATCCCCTCCCCCCACCCGGGTCTTCAGGCGGGCCTTCTGCCATTCTGCCCCCATCCTCTGGAACTCCACCCCGTAGTCCCTCCACCTCGCCCCCTCCTTTGCCTCCTTCAAGACCCGTCTCAAGAACCTCTTCATCCACCGTGCCTTTGGTCACCCTCCTTCCCCCCACTGCCCTCTACCTTCCCCGATCCTGACCCCCAGCTCGGATCCGAAACACTGATAGTCCAACGTCTTGGGACGTCCTCCTGACATGAAAGGTGCTTTACAAATGTAATTTTGTCGTTGTTGTTGTTGTTGTTAAGTGAAGGTTGCTTATTCTCATCAACAGGTGTTGAGATGACTTGCAGAACTACAATCTTGATTATAAATGTTGTTTTAATCAAATTGAGCTGAACTGCAGACCTTCTATCTAAGCGTAACAGGTGACATGGAGTAGCTGGTATAAAACTAGATAAAAGGGTATGAGGAGATGTCATTATGCTGTGCATTGTATTATGAAGAGTAAAGTTGGCTAAGGAAGAAGAGGTGCATGTGTTATAGCCATTGAAGTTTGTTGTGTCTTTTGGGTCATGAATCAATTGCTGGGACCAGACCTGTAGCTTAATCAGAGTCAGCTCAAGGCTGACATGATTAAAATAATGAGGAGAGCGTAAAGGTGCTGACGCGCACTGATCAGCCTGAAGTGGATTACCATCATATAAAGAAGTATGGCGGAGTTACATTTCAGTGGTTCGGCAATTAGAGTTGAAGTGAGAATGAGTGTATTGTTCACTCATCAAGGAGGCCAGCACTCCAACCCGAGGCTCTGAGATTCAGGCCACTCGAGCCTCTGAGATTCAAATAACATCAGAAGAAGAAAGAAGAACAGATGTTGATGATACAGGATCACAGTGCAAGAAATTCAACAGCTCTATCATCAGTGTTCCCAAAACAAGACAATTTTGACTGCTACCTATGAACTCTGATATTGTCACATAGGACGTACTATACGTGAGAATAAAGCACAATATTGTAACCCTATCTGTTGCAACTTTATCTATTGTAACCCTGATTATTGAATCAATGCAAAACCTGAATAATTAAATGTAAATGTAAGTAATTTCCCTTAGTAATTAAATGAGTTGTTAAGTATAGATTACAAGTGGCTTTGGTTTCTCAGTTCTCGGGTTCCTGAATTATATTTTGGCTTAACAGAATAAGGTGGTCTTTTTTGGCTGCGCATTTGCCCCAGGCTTAACAGAGTGGTTAGCTCCACTGCTGACTGCGCCTTTAAACCCAACCCCAGGAATAGGAGGGAAATCAGGTAGCGCTTTATTTTGCAATGTGTATAATTGATTTATGGAATCAATTATGAAACTTAAATTGGAAATCTGTTAAATCAAATTGCACCAATGAGTTGGAGTCCTGTAGCTCAGTGGTTAGAGCACTTGTTTTGCAAGTGAGAGACCTGAGTTCAATTCCTGGCAGGGCGAAACCTTGGGCAAGTTTCCTTACTCCACACGTCTAATAATAATCCCTCCGAAACCAAAAACAATAATAAGTTGGTCATTTTCAATCTACGACTGTTTGTGGGCCATTGCTGTGCGCAATTGGCTGCCGTGTTCGCCCACAAAAAATATACAGTCAATTCACTTTACAGTGTGTTCTGTGAAGCGCTTTGGGACGTCCTCCCGACGTGAAAAGCGCTATATCAAATGCAAGGATTATTATTATTATTATTATTATTATTAAAGAGACAACGCAAAGGAGTTCAATTCTGCTAAATGTCAACACCAACAACTTGCATTTATGCAGCGCCTTTCACATAAAACATTAATTGAACAATGTTTGTTGTTTGCCTCACTGAATACTAAATAATTCTTGCATTTGCTGTAGCCTTATCATGTCGTTGATTCTTCTCAAAGTGCTTCACAGATATACTGTATAGTGGATTGACTGTGTATTTTGTGGGAGAACTAGTACTTTATGTTATTTGGGAATAAGATGACGGCAAAAATCTGGCCAATGACAGCTGGTCTGCTATGTCATTTTCACAGCTTGTTATTGGTTCAATAACCTGTTCAGTACAACACTGTTAATGCAGATATGTTGGATAGAATAAATAATACAAAACCGAGGTGGACAGATGTGTTTCTGGAGATAGTTGAGCCTGAGGGATACAGTAAACAGATAACTGTTGACATTTCTTGGATCTAATGCCTGATTCCTTTTCTTTTATAGTCTTTCTGTTCACATGTAAGAACTAAAAGGTTCTGGACATGGCATAAAGGTGGGTTTAACAATGACTGAATGGTAGTGTGTTTTCGGTCCCTAACATTATGATTCAAGAGAAATCACAGACCATCTTTGAAGTGATCATGGAGAAAATATCTGCAAATATTTTGGCACAGTTGAAATGATACATCAGTTTAAAAGTGGCAGCAAAACCTAGTGAGATGTCACTAATAAGTCACTCCAATTTTAAACAGTGAAAATTCCAGTCAATGGTTGATCAATTATCCCTGAAAGTACCAGCTAATGTATGTATTGGCTCATTGCAAAATGAGACTTAACTTACTGATTTTAGAGAGAGAGAGAGATTTAGAGACATTCAGAGAAAGAAAAAGACAGAGTAAAATAAGATAAATCAAAGCGAGAGAAAACTGGCACAATGTGATACTATGGTGTCAGCACACCTCTCGATGGAACAATCCTTTATAATAATGTATCTAATTTATATTTTGTGTGATGTCCAATTAGCCACACTATTTGCTTATCCACAAAGGGGTTTGCCTGAATTAGTGTGGATAGTTAGCTCCCTACTCTACATGATTTTTGAAATTAAAATATAGTGCAAACAGCAAATATTTCTAACTAAATACATACGGCTTCACAGAGTGTATGATTATTGGCCTGCACTGCAAAATATTGTAGTGAAACTGATAGCACCTAGGGACTGCAATGACAGACCAATCTTGACTAGCATTTTATGAATTTGTTTTCCTAAACCACACTGTACAGCAAGGATTTAGATAACACTGAGTCATCACCTAGCCAGTGTGCAAAGGGGTTTGATTACATTTCATGTCATATCTCTTTTATCCATAACAATAAATTGCTGTTCCAGCCACTTACCTTGATCAGCACACTTATGAGGCCCGAGGCTTTCCGAGAAGTATAATACCAGAATGAAAGAGTGCATTTGACACTTGACTCCTTCCATTTGGAACTCTTCATATGGGCTTTGTCACCTTTCAGGCCTACAGGCGTCGCTTCCAGATACATAAAGTGTCCTGCAAAGAAGAAGTGTATCATTTTATTACTTTGTCAACGTGGAATAGTCACAGGACTATCACCCGACTGTTTTCTATGTATAAATACAGGCAGTAGAATGGTGGTTATCTGCAGAGGCTGACACAGACCTACAACACTGGCAGAAAAGACAGGTTATGCTCATGTATCAAGTTTTCCGTTTTGTGAAGACATCTGTTTATACAGAATAGAGAAAGTGAGGTAGACATAGATACATATATTTGTGTATATATAGAGAGAGGCATAGCGACAGAGAGGCAAAGTGGGAGTGAAAGAACTAGCACGGTTTTTTACAGCAGTGATAATACAGGTATAACTCTTGACATGACCATATATTGGTTGATGCTGTAGCCAATTTGTGTTTGCACGATAACCAATTAAATGTATTGTTCCACAATAGAGCTGGTCCCACTTAATGCAGATAATGGGCTTGGTAACGTATAACATTTTCATATATGAGAGTGCCTCAGATATTATGCAAGATATACATCTTCACCTGTATATCATCTAGGTTATTGTATAGTTAGGTTTTTAGGATTATTGTTGGTTGAACCCCTTAAACTGTACACTTTAGTGCTCTCACTTTATGCTCGGTGAAGCTCTTTGATAATCTAAGTTTGGCACTTCTGACATTTGTACTGACTGAAATCTTGGGGTCTCATGAGTTTTAGTATCTTAAGACCGACTGACAGTTTAATGAAATAGAAACAGTAGCTTGTGACTCTGAACTGCATTGCATCTATTAACAAAACCCAAGTGAGTCTGAGACTTCTCGGAATAGACGTGAGGTTCAGAAGTAGTGCAGGCTTTGCACTCTTTTATTTGGATCTCTGAGTCTCAGTCTCTACGTCTCAGGTTACAATAATGACCTGAATCTGAGTTTGTGCTCTCCAGAAAGATTCTGAGCTTACTTCTTGTACCTATACTGCAATTTGCTCTATAGAACTCCAACCCAGAGTTTCCCCGACTTGTACCCTCCTGCCCCTCTTTCAAGCCAAGTCTCACAATGTACCGCTTTGAAGGTTCTTTCGGTCATCTTTCCCCTCCGCAGCCCAACCCCCAGCTCAGGTGCCTATTTATCTGAAACGCTTTGAAACATCCACCTGACCTGAAAGGTGCTTTATAAACAGAAATTGTATTGCATTGTTGTACTGCAAAGAGCACTCTTAGATTTGCCCCTCCTCTGTCAACAACAACAACAACAAGATTCCATTTATGAAGTGCCTTTCACGTCAGGAGGACGTCCCAAGGCGCTGCACAGTTGGGTCATGACCCGAGCAGGGGGGAAATGGTCAGGGGGAGGGGAGGGAGCGAGGAGGGGGGAAATGGTCAGGGTGAGGGGAGGGATGGGAGGGAGCGAGAAGGGGGAAGAGAGTCGAGAGGGGAGCTGAAGGCTTGGTCAAAGAGAAAGGTTTTGAGACCGGCCTTGAAGGAGGAAAGGGAGGAGGCGGCGAAGGCACTGGGGGATAGAGTTCCAGAGCCTCGGGGCTGAGAGGCTGAAGGCCCGACCACCAATGGTAAAGCGATTGGGGTGGGGGACGTGGAGCAGACCGGAGCCGGAGGAACGGAGGCTACGGGCAGGTAGGTAGGGGGATAGTAGGTCAGAGAGGTAGGAGGGAGCAAGGCCGTGAATGGCCTTGTAGGTGAGGATGAGGATCTTGATCTGTCAGATCAATAAGGAGCAAATCTAATTGCGCTTTAGACTTTGGAGCTGTGTTTCTGCCAGAGGTTCCTGGTACCCGGCAGACCTTTCCATTAGAAGGTCCTTTGCCATCTCCCGATATTTCCAAATTCACCAATCTCAATCTGAGTTGCCAGGAAGATTGGTTGAGGCCAGGGGACTGGAATCATTTAAAAAGCAGCTTGACTCTGTGATGGGAGGACAGTAGGGATGAGATTAGATAGGCCAAAGGGCTTTCTTTATCAAAACCAATCTTGTGATCTCATAATATTTCAACCAACCAACCAATCAAGACAGCCTTAACTTAACACTTTCCACTTTTGTGAACAGGACAAATTATACCCTATTTTTATTGTATGGTCAGAGATTAAATTCTATTCACAGTCAGGCATCGTCTATTCTGGGTTACATGATGAAAATTAATACGTATTATACAGAATTAGGCAAGTGTTCCTCCAGAAACTGAGTACCCACTCCGTTTCAGACAAATAGGAACTTTCCATATGTAGTGACATAGATACAATATGAAACTCTCAATCTGATTTTCTTACTCTTAAGCATTGTGATGGATTTCCCATGTAGTAGACACTGAGCTGACCAAAGAAAAACACAATGAATACTTAATAACAACAACATTTGCATTTATATAGTATCCTTCATGTTGAATAACATCTCGGAGTGCTTTAAAATGGCAGGAGGACTCTGAGTAGAGGATTTGGTGGTGGGGGGGGTGGGGAGAGAGGAGGTGACCATAAGCACAGTCAAAAAGTGGGATTGGGGTGGGTGGGGGGGAAAGAATTGGAAAGCTTGATGCACATTATTTGTCGTGTGCATTATGATGGGAAAACCCTTATTAAGCCTTTGTCACCTCCAGATTCTACTTTTCAAATACCCTCCTTGCCGATCTCTGCAGCTCCACCATCCACAAGCTCCAGCTCATTCCGAACTCTGTTGCCTGCATCTGTACCAACACAAAGCTTTGCATTACTCTTTACTATCAAAGCATGGCTATTTCATCCAGATTTCTTTGGTTTGGCTTTTATTTGAAGCCTGGCACTACTCTTCCCCATGCCAGGCTTCACTTTCTCCCCATCTCCCAACAAACAATATCAAGATCTTCACTCTCATCTACAAATCTCTTTGTGCCCTCGCATCTCCCTATCTCTATGATCCTTTCCAATCTCACTCTAATGCTCATTTGCTCTGCTTGGCAAATCTGAGCCTGTGGCACACCCATCCAACCCCACCAATGGCAACTAAGCCTTCAGCCACTATGTTCCTACCCTCTGGAATTCCCTCCCTCTACTGTAACTCACAGCCCAACCCCCTCTACTTAGCTTTTTAAAAAACACCTTTAACACCTCTTCGCCAAGCTCTACAGTCACTGACCTCCTGCCCACCCATTTATAAGAAATACTGCAAATTAGAGCCCTATTATGTTATTAAATGAGTTTAACTAGTGAGATCTTGAATGTAATAGATGCATGGATGGCACTAATTATAAAATGTAATTTTAAATGTCTGCATTTGGTACAAACGTGCACAATATATTTATTCACAAAAGAAAATTATTCAATTATTGTATTTCAGGAGAAAGTCATTTTCGGACTGGTAAGTGCAAGCTCCATTGTTATTGTGTGGGATACAATGCCTGACCTTCTTGGAGGTTATATTCAATGAGCGCACATTTGGTGTGCTTACTGAACTGAGTGTTTTGTGAATCTGTAGGAACAAGTCTTGTTTCCAATAGTAATGCTGGAGATTTATTAGACCCATACCATTTCAAGGCAGGGATCATCTATTATTGCTTTGTTACATTCATAAAAGAGACATGTTTATTGTCTCACCGCTGCAGCCCCAATAAAAATGTTTATTGTTACTTTAAGTGGTTTACNAAAAAATCTTTAACTTTAAATAAAGATTCTCTTTTACTATACACTGACACCTTTGCATTTCCCTTAATAACTTTCAGTATTCTTCATTGTTTATTGAAAAGGATTCAAAATTATTGAATTAGGAGCACAAGAAATGTACTGTTCCGCAAAAGACCATTCAGTAGCTATGAAGTTCACCTAAAATTATATTACACAAAGAAAGGTAAGCAACATAAGCAATAAGTAAGCAGTGAAGCCTTTGAAGTAAATAATAGATATTGATTCACAAAGCAATACATGTGTTTCTGGAGAATATAAAGGGGACAGGAGTGCGCTAGGGACTGAATTATGTTGTTCCCTAATGTAGATCATACAAGTTTACTCAGGCTGGGATGGGATTTTGCAATACCCACTGTTGTAAATTATTTTCATCAAGATAGAGAGAAAGGTGATTATATAGAATGTTTCACATGGAAACAAGCCATTCGGCCCATCTAGTCCATGATAGTGTTATATTCCACCCCTCCTAATCCTCTCTCCCATACCTGTCTATTTGTTTCTCCCTCAGGCAAGCACATGCTTTGAGATGTCCACCCGACGTGAAAGAGACTATATAAATCTAAATTGTAACTGTATTGTATCGCACTGTATCAAGTGTCCTCTGAAATATGTTGATAACCTTCCTTGTTCAGGGGTTACTGAAGATCATGTTCGAGAAACTCATGCGTGTATCAGTCAGCATTTTAAAAAGTAAGATTTAAACCCAGTTTATAGCTTACAAAGGTGAGGATGGCATCACATAGCAGTGCAGGAAAGGAATTATGGATCCTGGATTTAAATATCATTATAAGGTCCCCTCTGAGATATCTCTGCAACTGAACATAAAATTTCTCTCCATACGTTCACAAAGTGCCATGCGCCCCATTATAAAAGACACAAGGCACCTCTTCAGCCAGCTTCCAGGTGTAAATCGAGGCTTATTAAAGAAATACCACGTTCCTCAATGAATACAATGCAAAATTACATTTGTAAAGCGCCTTTCATGTTGGGAGGACGTCCCAAGGTGCTGGACAGTCAGGGATTTGGACCCGAGCTGGGACTCGGGATCATGGAAAGCAGGGAGAGTAGGAGGGTGGCTGAAGGCGCGGTTGTAGAGGAGGGTTTTGAGACGTGCCTTAAAGGAGGCAACGGAGGGAGTGAGGTGATGGGAATGTGGGATGGAGTTCCATAGGGTGAGGCCAGAAAACCTGAAGGCCTGAATGCCGATGGTGGAGAGGGCCAGGCAGGGGATGTGGAGCGGGCTAGAGCAGGCTATAGGCTATAGCCTGCTGAGCAAAGAATAATGGCTTTTTTTCCTTATTCACAAACACAGACGTGGGTGGAGTCCTGTAGTTCAGCGGTTAGAGCGCTCGCCTTGCAAGCGAGA